AAATCTATATCGTTGAAATAAAATAGACGATATAGAGCATCGAAACCTTGCTTCTAATAAGGTTACAACCTTATACAAACTACACCTAATAAGGTTACAACCTTATACAAACTACACCTCAAAAGTAAAGCTACACATCAACTCTAAACTTTGCATGCAAATGCAATTCAAACATTGGCCTTGAAAACTATTTTCACTCATGATATGAAAATTGAAGCTCCAAAAGCGAAATAAATCTAAAGAACATTTGAAAATGGACAGTCTAAACAATGTGCTACAAGATAATTTATTTTTACACCTTGAAATCTTTGTTACTTTTCTCTTCTAAATTCATAACTGTTGAGGTCGATGTGATCAATTTGAGCGCTGTTATATACCGAAACCACAACTCCAAATCCGTAATTTTTGTCGCAAGGTCTAAAGTCTTTTTCTAACCCTCAATCTTAACTACAAAATATATTTTTATAGAATGTATACCATTTACTGCACTTATTAAAGGCCATAGGTGGCCCGGGCTAATAAGGGCGTGGCCCAACCCATGGGCCTTGAGTTTTGGCCCGAATCTAGACCTGGCCCAGCCAGTTTGGCAGCCCCATGCACAACTCTCGTGTGGAAGCTCATTATTTAATGGAAGATTGTGGGGTTTTCACCCTTTCAAAAAGTTTATATAAGGTCGCCACTTTATATTATTGAAGTAAAATATACCTTAAAATCCTTTGCAGTGTGCCAATATTGGAGAACCCTCGATCATCCCAACTTCTAAATTTATGGATATGAAGAAAATTAAGAATTTCAAATTCTAGAAATAGCTCATATTGTTATAAATAATTTGAATCGTTTATTTTCAAAAATTTTCAAATGTTTATAGATATGCTCGATTTAAATTATTTTTTAATCTTAAATTTTCATAACTAGGAATAAAAATATATTTTCAAGCTTTCAATACCATACCTACATCTCCAAGTATATTTTAGAAGTCCAAAAATATATTTTCAAGTCATCATAAGGTTCCAATACCAAAACTACGTCTCCAAACATATTTTAGAGGTCCGCCTTACTTCTATAATACAAGGAGGGAGCCTTATACAAACCCTGCCCTCCATGGTAACCTGAAAGCCTTTATTAAATTATAACCATTTGATCCTATTCCACAAATGTGGAGAATTTATCTGTGATACAAAGAGGTTAGAATCACCCTTGTCCTTATTCTATACATGGATTGTAACGACATGACAAACTTTTTAGCATCCAAGTCTCGAGTCTCTTTCCTATCTCAACTGTATACCTCCAAACTATTTACTTTTAGTACAAGGAGATTAAAATTACCATTAACGGTTACGTGAAATCCAACAAATTGAAATATCACAAAGTTCAAAAGGCTTCCTAGGACTCTGAGCATCAATGGCACACCCCAGCCATCCAGATTCAGTTCAATAGCCAAAATTACTTATGACGTCCTTGTATAAATGATCTTTTTATATTCTTTTAAAGCGAAAGTCGATACACTCCTTACACCTTCACATTTCAATCGCAACGGCAAATCAAAAGGCCACAGGCTCTGAATGGAATCTATAGGTTTTCTCATGACATGCCATGTTTTCCCCTTTAAACAACTTTCCATTTTCTCCTTAACTCGAGATCCTTGTTATTTCAAAGAAAATTGTTTCATACCTGCTGACCCGCATTTCTGCATATGCGGTCCAAAAAGTGTGAAGCATCCATCTTAAAGATGGATGCAAGTAAGTGCTCCATCTAAATAGATGAAAACTAACGGTCCAAATATGTTTTTACTAAAAATTATTATATCTAGTTTTTCAAATTTATTTATTTTTTCATATTCATTATCTCTGTGTTAGAGATTACATGTCCTTCAAAATTAAGTCTTAAAATCCATATCAAAAATAGATTTATTAAGAGGACCACATTTCTACATATGCGGGCTTGGCCACAAATAAACCGAGTGGATCCTTATTGCAAAGGTAAGGGGTAATATTACCTTTTTGTCACACAAACTTCGAGGGAGTAAGTAACTACAGTTATAATGATCGGACCAGCCACCAAACCAATTTGAGGTATATCCAATCAAAACCAATTCGACCACTAGTAAAACTGGTTAGACAAAAATTTAAAGAACTATAAGAAAAATAAAAATAACAGTATAAAAATATCAGTTATATTAGAAAAAGGTTGAACGGTCGGACCAGCAGGCCCCGGTCCAGTAACTATTGAAGGAACAACACAAACAAACATTGGAGGCAGAACTCAAATCGCACTATACACGACTTCCACTACAAAATGAATATTTTGGCACCTATGTTCAGTGTAATCAAATAATTCCCTAAATAAAGTTAATATAATAAATATCAAATTGCAACATTTTTATCGATCAAATCATAATTAAGCTACACCGACTGACATCTTCAACAAGTATAAGACACATCTGCAGAAGATGTGTCCATATCATTCAGACCAAGCTCCTCATTCTGCTCCCATGATCTCTCATATTCCTCGACTGATGAGCACCAAACGTCATACAAAATAATAAGTTATAAAAGAGTCATACACCTGCTGGCACAAAATGTACAAACACGTATGCACACATACACACGCATACATACAAGAGAGTGAGAGAGAGAGAGAGAGCACCCAACTGCCCATATATCAGATGGTTGAAAGACTTACAGGTCAGCTGATGATCGTCTTCTATAGCATCAGTTATGGGAGCCACAAAAGAATTGGCCAGTGCATCATCAACTATCAAAGTCCATGGTTTCTCAACCTTCAAAAACTGCAGAACATGCAAAGAACAAACAAATCATGAACTGAATTTTTTTTTTTTAGAACTGTTAACTAAGTACTCTGAATTTTCTTTTCATCTTCTGGTCAGTCAGATTAAAAAAGTATCCTAGTCATTAATCAATAATCACTAGAACTTTTTTTTGAGAGAGAATAATCACTAGAACTTAACAACCAATATTCAAGTGTATGACGAAATGGTGGTTGTATTCAAACCCAGCTTACCCACCAAAAGAATACCACAAAAATCTGCAGGATGGTTGTTTCTAAGAATTTTAGCAGCCACCACTAACAAGAAATTTGTACGAAGAGCTGGAATTACATGAAAACATCCCAACCATTTCTCGGCAAACCCATGTTCCATCTACCTCATATATGCACACATGCATGCATGCATGTGTCAATCCTATTTTGAGATTTCCATTCAACTCCAATCAATCCGTAGAAAGTACCTGATCCAGCCTTGAATTGAAATCTTGCCATTTGGTTTTCTTCCAGTTGTCAACGCTATCCCCTAAAGTGAACCCATGTACTCTTTCAAGATCTGCAAACAAAGTCATTTTGACAAATTAAGATACCACATATAATATTGTTTAATAGCTCAAACTGTGAACAATTTCCTGTTTTTCTACCATACTAAAAAATATTTGGGAACAGGGTTGCTTACTGTTTAGGCTGTCTATAATGCAGGGTGTGAATAAGAATAGAGCATTAGTGCCAGGGGGAAGCAGGTACGCCCTAAAGAGAGAGCAGCCAGAGTTCAATACAAAACTAGGTTCATCATGTTATGTTTGAGTTAAGGGAATTGAAGGCTATAGGCATGTCTAACCGATAGAGAGACATAACTTTTCTTATTTTGGTCAGAGGACATTTTAAGACGTAGGAGTGGAGCATATAAGGAGATTATACTCAACATAAATAGACTCTCTTCACACTTCCCTTTGGTATTCTGCCCGAGTTAGCCTATCTAGCTACACTTTCAAATCCATATACTTCATGGGTGATGTACATGTTATTTTCAGGACAACTTTGCTACCCACTAGGGTTCCTGACACAATTAATTGAAGTTGTTTCGTGTACACAAAGGATCAAGTTTTACACTTTGGCCAAAAGTTTCTCATGGGAAAATCAAAATAAAGAATTGAAGTTATTTCATGTACACAAAGGGTCAACTTTTACACTTTGGCCCAAAGTTTCTATCGGGAAAATAAAAAAAAATTAAAATAGAAGCTCAAAGTAAAATTGTGCATGCTATGTGAAGACAACTCCAACTGTTTTTTGTGAAAGCAAGTTTTAATAAATGGTATGACAATATTTACCAGTAATTAAAATATTCTCATTGGTTGGCTCTAGATGATATTTAAAAGCATTATTATTTTAGGGATGGTCTTCTACCCAGAAGTAAAACCATCAAACTGTGAATTCAGACTAATCATCACTCAATTCGAGGGTCAATGTTTATAGTATGATATGCTTCAAAGATCCTTATCGCAAAAAATCCACTGTTTCTATAACAATGATGAACTGAACAGATAATAGACAACCATAACAGCATATGCTTGCTAAAGTTTGATAGTAACTAAATGCACATAGACATCTCAAATTCCTCGCATTGCTAACACCAAGTGTTGAGCAGCTCTTAAAAAGGCTCATCAACCATTTATGCTAGTAAAGCTCTAATGAGGTTTCAAATATCCAACATTGATTCTTGGCTAGTAAACAAATTAAAAGAGGACATTCATATTGCTAGTAAACAAATTAAAAGAGGACATTCATATTGGCTACCGAAATTTAAAATAAAATTATAGCAAGATGACTTTTTGAAAGATAATGAGTGGCACAAAAACTCACTTTCTCTAATTTTAGTCATCAGACCTTCAACAGTCGTAACAAGCCCACCAAGGGTGCCACTTGCAAGTTCCAAGTCAAGTTCAGGAACTTTAATGCTCGCAGTATCTGACTGACATGCAAAAATAGCAGGCTAAATAAGGAACTGAGACCAATCATTTGAAAGAGAAGACACAGAGGTTAGATTGATCCCATGAGTGATGAAAGAGTCAAGTATGGCAATGCTCCCCATCTTACATATGTGTATAATGTAATATTAATTTAGGGAATTTTGTCAAAATACCCATGAGAGATGAAGTTGCCCAATTGCAACTATTCCTATCCAAGACCATGTATTTGTTAATGGGTATTTTGCAATTAAATCAAAAGATGTGGGTAAAGAGGTTAAATTCTTCATCTCTAGTGGGTAATTTGATAAATTTCCCTTTCTTTTATGTTGGAAAATAAGTGTGTACACGTGCAACAAAGGACATCCGTGGAGGTCACCTATCTGAACGCCATTGTTTCTTAAATAAGCTCAATTCAAGGAAATCTGTTGTGATCTGGCATATTGGCACTTCTAAATCACACCAAACACATTGCCAACTATTTTGCAAGCAGTTCATCACAAAAAACGCACAATAATAATGGGTTTATATGACCACTAACACTTTATTGACACTTGAAATTTTAAAATATGTAGAAGAGAGCTGATTTAATTAAGCATAAGAAAAATAATCCCCTTGCAAGTACTAGCGGTTAGCCATAAATCAATCTTATCATATGGAACAACAGCACACCTTTATCACATCACGGCAAACATCTTCAGTGTTCAAGACACGCACAGTAATCCGCTTTCCCTTCTCAGGAATCTTCCCACCTGGTTTCAACTTTTGTATATGCCAAAAAGATCATAACAATGATTATCATTTCAGAAAGATACTTAAAAAGTCCCCACCATAAATCAGTTATAAAATGTTGATTGTTGAGCTCCTACTAACCTCGGAACTACGATAACCACAACTATCACAAGTTGATGCCATCACAATGACTTCTTGGAAGTATGGAATTTCTGCAAGCAAAATCAAATAAAGAACACTTTAGACAAACATGAACTTTGAAGTCTACAAATCCGAAACCAAATAATTAAAATAATGTTAGAATAACTTCAAATGCATGATTTTCTCAAAGAACCCCACGAGGATAGGGCCATTGAAAATCATTGAAAAACCCTAAACTCCCTGGTATTTATAATCTTGGTTTTATAAATTCCATCATCTTTGGTTAAATTCAAGTCACTAATACCAACATACACTAACTTAATAGTTCCCATTCCCCAGGGTAAGGAAGAAGTGGATGTCGAATTTGAATTAAGAAATTCCTCACAGCACCACTTATACAATATCTGTTTACATTTAGCAATATGCAAAGACAGCGTTGGTGAACCAGTTCAAGGACAAAGAAAGAAGCCATACTTGTGACAAACATTCTGGTCTCACATCTAGCTCCACATGCTCCACATGTTGATGGAAAAGTCATAACCTAGAACCACGAAAAAAGAGAAAAGATTACACAATTCCTGTAAAGAAAAGTGTATAGCAACACCATCGCCCAGCGAGCAATAGGCTAATAAAAACAACAGACCTCTTCAGGTGCAGAGTATTTGAACAAGGCGGCAGCAATTTCCTCACTGTTACCCTGAGCAATTGCACGATGACCACCCTCTGCTCCAATAGAACCATGAGACTCTCTTCTTGTTCCAGCAGGAATATACTTCGTTTTCTTAGTTCGCTCTATTCTAACTTCACCACCACCGTGAGGCTCAGACTCTTCTTCACCAGCTGTCGACTCGGCAAGAAACCCCAGAGACGCTTGCTGTTCGGGAGTCCGATCATAAAACTTCACAGTCAGTGCTGGATCAGAGGAGGGAGCAAACCTACAAGCATCAAAAGACGATATGATCAATGGATCATCCACCTAACTTTCCCCCAAGGACGAGCTGAATGGGCTCAAGGATTACATCTTTCATGTATATTGCTGGTTAGACTACTTCTACCGCTTGTAACATATGACCCACAATAAAATTTATAAGTAACTACATGAATATGCACATATGCACTTATTGCTCTCCTCAAACAATTCCCACCCCAACCCCTTCTTTTCAGAAACAAGAACAAAAAATGAAACAGCAAAAGAAAGTAAACAAATGCAAAGCTAGAATCTGTTCTGAGGAAGCAGTGTAAAGGAGACCAATAAAGTAATTCTCTCCAATATATAGTGAAAGTGAATGTCAATGCATTTCGCCTTGAAATGCAATGCTAAGATAAAAAACAAACACAAGCAGAACTAATGTTACTTTCATGTAGGGTGTGGGAAATAAAATCCAAAGCCAAATATTACTTAATAGAGACCCAGTAATGGTGAACCATCTGCTCTCACAACAGCATATGCAGTCTGAAACAGCCTAAGGTAAAAACAGAAAATCTAAAAAGGTATAACAACTGCACCAATCAACATTGATTAGAAGTACCTCATAATTCAATGAAACTGCAATCATATCAGTAGTACTGCAAGACAAACCAAACTAACCACAAGTACCAGCTAACATATTTTGAATTAAGTGCTAACTAAATATAACAACCCTCAGATTAGGGATCGATGATCTATGCAAAATCATAACATATTTACAAGAAAATCAACATAAATTCAAAATCGAGGCAATTGATTGCCTAATGCTTCACAGATAGAAAGTCTGTGATACCATCTCACCCCTCCCCACCTGAAGCACAAATCCCCTTGTGAGATGACAGAATTTTGGGGCAATGGTAAGCGAAGCAACTCTGAAGATCTCCTCGTAATCCACCCCATGCTCATGGGTGTAACCTTAGGATAAGTGACATATCTATGAAGTGATCCATCTACTACAACATTAAATTTATATCAAGTAGTTCTCATAGGGAACTTACCAGCCAGAAGTGATACAAGATGACCTAAACCTTACGTTTATTAAGTGATGCATCTTAAACTTATACATACATGTATCCTAGGAAAGGATGAACGTACAGCATAGACCCTATGCAGAAACAACAAAAGAAAAGCCCATAAAAATCGAAAAGTAGAAGCAAAACATACAATCCACTTTCAAATGATGGACGATAGAAATTCTCCTCGGTAGGCAATTCCAAGTTTGCAACCAAGTGACATTCCACTTGATGATAACAATCTAAAATTCAAATAAACAATCAGGCACAAAAAGAAGACACCATCATGATGATATTAGTTGCATCAATGTCCTTTTGATCATGGCTTACAGGTTCTCAATGAAGCTATTGCCTGCAGGATCATCAAGTATGAAGGTAAACGGCACATTTCCTTCTGCACAGGATTTCAATTTAATCAAAAACCGGTCCAAAGCTTCTGCTGTCTCAGGATCAACCTTCTGCAAGTTGCAAAATGGCGAGATATTATAGCACTTAGATGGACCAAGAATGAAAAATTTTCAAAACAAGGCTTACCCTTCGCTCCTCTTGCAAAGCTTGCAGCTCCTCTGCAGCTCGTAGAAGAATCCCTTCCACCTTAAGAACCCAAAAAAAAAAACCAAAAGAAGAAGAAGAAGAAGATAAGGTTGTCAAACAGTGAGCGAAAGAAACTCAATAATCATGCATAACAATCTCTGCAGCACATAACATTCTACTCTAGGTCTCACAAAAATGTCTTTTCTAGTCATTAGACCATAAGTCACGAGATACCAAATGTCACTTGAATCTTTCATCATTCCTGAATACCATCTTACAGAAACACTGACAAGTAAGCTTCTTCAAACACATCAAAGATAGATGTGCAATCTCTAGCCATCATTATACGTGGACGCAGGTGAGAATGGACACTTCATTTCCTTAAATTCAAACACCAATTTTACTTGTTACACAATTATTCAAAGTGCAGAAGAATACATTTCAACAGGCTTTTACATGTCATATGGAATTGGCTGGATTTAGATCAAGATCTCAAGCGCCATTAGGAAACATGTCAACTAAACTATTGCAAATTGAGGCACAGAAGAATAGTATACCGTTGAAAGTTTCCCACGTTGAGCTTCTGGGGGTATCTCAAAATCCAACTCTGGAATCTGCGAACATAATAATGGTAAGAAAAGAACCTCCATAATAGCCTTTTGGAGTAAAAAAATTCTACCATAAGCAAGAATATTATTCTGATAATAGCATATTGCATAACTGGAAAAAAGTAAAAAGTCAATTTAGGCATAGTCAACATGATCTCCTCTTAAGGGAAGACAAAAATATATATATAGAGATGCACCGAGAGAAGTCGTCATACATGCCACTGATACCTACTAGTTTATGCATGCGTTCCAGTGCATTTTCTTGGAAATGACTTTTTGAATCACTGCTTATAAGGCCATGTTAAAAATGCATCTTCTTTTCATAGAATTTTTTAAATCTTACCCCTTATTTACTTTTTTTGAAATTGTACACCTCCACTATGAGCACAATGTTGGCCAAGAGATTCAGAACATTGCACATTTCATCCCAAATGCAACAAAATAAACAAAATGAAAATGCAAATAGAAGGCTTCAAGCATATGCTTTTATTTACCAATCAAGATTTATGGCGGACCTGCTCATCCACAAATAACTTCATGAAACTTGTCTTTAGTATTTCCATGACAAATTTTAAGATTAAAAAATGCCCGTTGGTATACCTTAATGGATGCTGAATCAGATTTCACCACTTGACGGTCAAGCATCTGTATCAAATAACCATATCAATTCACCATGATAGCTAATACCACTATTTCAAGCATAAATAGAAGGGAAATCGTAATCTAAAAACTTGTTGGGAAGTTACAATTTAAGTCACTAGAGGATTTCCATCCATAAAAATGATTTCGGGTTTTACCCATGCATACAAATATACCAGTATAACAAACAAGCAAGAAATGAGATGTGTGAAGTGCACGGTTGCAAACTTCAAATGTGCCAGGCTGCACAAACTTCAAAAGCGCCAGGCAGCTACAGGCACTTCAGGGTCCACCTAGGCTAGAATCACCTAGTGGGCACCTGAGATTCCAGGTGGGTGCTAATTCACAAAGGAATAAGATTATAGCAATACAATGAATAAACACTATGTATGTGCATCTTTGGTACATAAAAGATCATTATGACTCACTATTGATATATAGATAGTGTTATATATCTCTTTCCTTGAACGTCATATGAAGACACATGGATACAAGAATAATCAATTGCAACTAACTGTAAGTTTGACAATCATATTTAACAGATTTTCAAAGTCAAATATCAATTTTCAATGAACAACCTTGCGATCACCACCCATTACTCTCAAATGATAGCAACATCCGCGAGGTTGGAGCTCACCAGCAAACTGCACTTCATTGTTCCTGATTTACAAGTATAAGCTAAGATAAGAAAGGCCATCAACCAGCTTCAAATAACCATTGCTACATGCAATAAATAATGCTAGACATGGGTAAATTCACTGTTTCAAAAAGCGGACCGCCCAGCGCCTGGGCAGCCGCCAAGGCGGATATCCCTAGGCGCCCACCTGAACCCGCCTAGGCGACCGCCCAAGGCTTGCACCCACCCAAGGGCGGATATGCAGCTCCTTGAGGGTATTTTTGGGTCATTTTTCTAATACTAAAGGGCAAAATTGTGGATTTTAGGTTCATTTGAAACCTAAAACCCATTAGAGGCTATTTTAGAGGAAGAAAACCCAAAAAAAAAAAATCTACTGGCCCGCCCAGGTTCTAGGAGCCCTCCTAGGCACTGGGCGGCCTGGACCCCCCGACCGCCTAGGTGTCGCCTAGCACTTTTTGAAACACTGGGTGAATTATATGATTGTTAGCTGATTTTTCATATGAATGTTCTAAGATGTTGAAAAATATCACTCTATGAAGCTCAAAAACACAAGCTAGAGCTCAAAAAAAGCAATATTTTGATTTTTGTCAGAAGAGCCAGTCTTGAGCAAAGCAATGCTGCTTGCCCTCTTGAGAGATGCCTTCAACTCCCGCTTTCAATCATACACATGGAGCATGAATGTCAAAGCATACAGAAAACTAACCAAAAAGGCTTCAAACAAACTACCTTTCATTACAATGTGGGCATTCAAAGGCCATTAACACAACCTGCAGAGAAATGGAAAACTATGCTGTTTAGCAATGAACAACCATGACTAGCACATTGAGCGATAATAAGGACTGTACTATTTTAGAAATAATAAAAAGAATGATATTGAGCATGTGTCAAAGAAGATAAGAAGGCTTGAGTGCTCTTTCCCCTTATTATATGAGGCATCTCAATGCCCACTGAAAAAAATCGACGATGCAAGTATCATATTGAATAAAGACAACAAAGTACCATGGAATCATGTATTGGTTGCATAGTGTATTTCGACTCTCCACATACTAGTTAACAATTTACAGAAGGCGAACGAAATTAAAAACACATAAAAATGGGAAATTTTTGCATGGCAGTCAATTGACATGGAATATTGACAAAACAATGCATACAGGGAAACCAGGTGAATATAACGTAACACTAGGTCAAGCAAACATTTCTGACCTATACATCCATTATATTAAGACAAACCTATAACTTTATCCAAGTTGAGCATGAGAATTTTACAAGTAGCGGCATAATCCAGTAAGAGCTTCCTAACAACTTCAATGGAGACAAACAACCTCAAAATGAAAGCATGCTTTCACTTGCATAGTTTTTCTCTTGTATTAGAGAGTATGGGGAACATGGGACTGACAGACTTTTTAACCCTGGTGACAAAATACATCGCTAAAACTAGCAGATAAGCTATAAAGGATCAATATGCAATAATGGCCTCTTCGAAAACAAACAATTTACGTACATACACAAAGTCGGCAGTAAGATACAGTCAACAACAAGAGACATCTACATCAACCATACCACAAGCAAACTGTACACATCATGGAATCAAGTCCTTAAGTAAAGGATGAATTGGGGGCCAGGTTGCTTTGGCACTGTGGCTAATGCATAGAATCACAGCAATAGCATTTGGTGCTCAAATCCCAGCTTTACTCACCCCAAAAACCAATAGGCCTTGAAAAGAACAAACATAAAGAAGGAAAGGCTACATAATAAAAGTTAAGAAACTAAAAAGAACTGGAAAGAATTTGGCAGAAAGGATTCCCATAGGCTCGTGGATTATTACCAGTTGATGATAGATATAGACTCGTTACTACGGACAGAGAACCTCTAACTAGGGGCTTAATTTTGGCGAACTTCTATGCAGCTAACAGGCTGAACCAATGGACCATATCTCCATCATGAATTCTCATTAAACCCAAAAAAAGAAAAGAACAAAAAAGTCAGTGGGAGCATCTGTAGCACACCGCATGCTTTTTTATATAATGGAAGTATCTTTTAGCTTGTTTCGTACTTAATGAATCATGCTTCTTACTTTCTATTGTCCCGTACAGATCTGGAATGGACTGAAATGAGACTAAAGTCTTTTAACTTTGGGAACCACCATTCTACTAATAACATGAAGACTGTACAAAAAAGTTTTATTACGAATAGATTATGGAAGGAAATAAATAACTGCATGTCAAGATAGAAGTATGGAGAACATGCTGGAAATCATTAAAAGAGATGTAGTGACATGGTGTTACAAAATACACTCACATCAGTGAACAGAAAATTCCTAAAAGGGAGTATCATTATCAGTTTAAGACATCACAATGGAGCAATGATTTCTTAATCTAGTAGAAGTTTTGGGTCTTTAACATTTTCTATATAAAAGGAGTTCATTAACCAATCTAATGATTCCTCCATTTGTAATTATTTATCGATCACTCTTAAACATTATTTACTTGAATTACATAACTGACCAAATAACTTAGCAATGAGGATTCTTGCTGCTCTAAAAAATTAAGGGAATATATATACATACATACATACATATGTATGTATATGTATGCATGTACATATATGTGTATATATATGTATGTATATATATAGATAGAGAGAGAGAGGAGAGGAGAAGAGAAGGGAGAGAGAGAGAGAGATACAATATATCTATAAAGTAGCTTTGTCATCATACCTCCCGAAAATGGGGAATTCGAGTTAAGAGGAGCCTGGTTATCCCCTGTTAAGCATAAGTAATCACATCAGGTAAATTCAATAGAAATTTGAAAAAAAGAAATATCATGAAAGGAAGCATATAAATAAAAGGAATGGCCCTTGGCCTGGGTGGTCATGGTGGCGGAGCCACAATGTGACGTCAAGGATTCCATTCCTATCCCGTTAACATGTCAATGAAAAAAAAAAAAATGGTGCAGTTATAAATGAAAGAGGGGATCAGGTATCTCTGTTGGGTTCACTACCAGCCTCACAACCATAACATGCCATACATGCCCATACATGCAACTTAGCCTAAAACGGCCATATACTTTTTCTTTTCTTTTTTTCTATTTTTGAGCGTTAAATGTCCACGCACGAATTAATGAACAGGGAAATCTCAATAATGAATAGGGAAAAGTCTAATTAAGATGTATGCAATAACAGAGGTACTATACTTTTCTACTGTATAGTTTAGTTTAATTCAACCAAGTAGTAAACGAAATAAATGAAACCACTACTCAAACTCAATAATAAAAGAAATCAAAACATTGACTGAAAATAATACATAAATAGTGAAAATAAGTGGTTAGTTTATTTTTTATTTTATTTTTTCACTATGTATTGGTTAGTTTAATGGCGAAATAAATGAAACCACTACTCAAACTCAATAATAAAAGAAATCAAAACAATGACTGAAAATAATACATAAATAGTGAAAATAAGTGGTTAGTTTATTTTTTATTTTATTTTTTTACTATGTATTGGTTAGTTTAATGGTTAATTTAATTCGAATAAGAAACCCAGAAATGAAAAGAACCCATGTCACGGACTACACCCACAAATTATTATCTCGTTTAGATGAATTCGAATTAATTAAGCTACTGATCACTCTAATAGATATGCCATGACATTGAAATAGCACATAAAATATGCCATAAAAATACAGAAAGCAAACAATAAGATGAATATCATTTGATCTTGTATATTGAATAATCGCATCAAGCATGCCATGAGTTGAAGAGGGCAAAACAATTTGATAGAAAATATAGAAAAATTTACTGACATTTTCTCCACATCGCATACACAGGCTCTCAATTGAATGCAGGGAAGCAATCGAATCATCAGGTGCATCGACTGCCTCTGCAGCTGATCTCACATTACTGATAGCCTCTCCACTCTCCATTATATAGAGAGAAACAAAAAACCCTAGAAATCCAAATCACCAACTAGCTCAGCAGTATCTTGCTGGAATTGAGATGAAAAGGCTTTCACTTTATATAGACAGACCGTGAAAACCAGAAGGCCTCGTCCTGTTCGGTAGGAGATGAATTGCAGGTTTTTTAGAGGGAGATTTTAGAGAGAGAGAGATGCCTTCGAGCGATTTCCCGCTAACGCTAGACTCGGCAAAAGATGCATTTAAAGTCTTTTATGTTTTTCATCTATGAGCTAGGATAAAACCGAAATTTTCGCCAACAAATAGGGGCAGATCCGTTATTAATTTGCTTCCTTTTTTTTCTTTTTTTAAACTGTAAACGTTGCTAATTTGATAATTTAGTACATAGATTTTCTGTATCCCTTCATAAGATATCTATCGTAAAAAAAAAAAAAAAGATAGGATATGGTTTTCAAAAAATTGAAAGATACCCCCATATCATGCCCCAAACCTCTCTTTTGAAGGTCACGTGCTCTAGAGATAAGGCCCCATTTATTATTACTTACCCCAAAAAACAAGCCCCATCTATTATTGCCATATATGTCCAACCTTAAAAATGCAGTCTAGATATATATAAATTTTATTTTTGAACATCTTTTAGATATCCAATTTAGACTGATCCAGACTGGCGTCTAAATGAACAGTAAGATTTATGGGATGAACTATTCACTCTACCGATACGGTTTTCAAAATAGTGCCCTCGTACTAATATTTTCACGTGAAAAATCCAACTTGTAAATCCGTTAAGGGCTAAGAGGAAATTAAGAATCTTAGATATTTGAAATCCAGGTAAATTTATGAATTTTTTATATTAATTATTTTTTTCATGGATTCCTCAAATCTTTTGTTGGGATAAACTATTCAAAATTTCTAGATTCTTTGCAATCACTTATGTGTTTAACAAAACTTGATACAATTTCTCTCTCTAACATTTTTATATACTTTCTCTCTCTAAGACTCAAAATTTTGAGATAGTGTATCTATAAAAATTTTGAGGCAGTTTCTCTTTCTAAAATTTGATATGGTTTGTCTCTCTAAAAATAATATACTTTCTATCCAAAATTTAAAATTTGAAATTGTTTATTTAAAAATTTTGAGATAATTTCTCTCTCTATAAAAATTTTAGGTGCTTTACTCTCTCTAAATTTCAATATTAGTTTCTCTTTCTAAAATTTTAATATTCTCTCTCTAAAACTTAAAACTTAAGATAGTTCTCCTCTTCAATAATTTTGACATAGGTTCTCTCTCTTAACATTTTTAAGTAGTTTCTCTCTCTAAATATGATATAGTTTTTCTCACAAATTTTAAAATACTTTCTCTTTTTAAAAACTAAAATTTGAGATAATTTCTCCTTAAAAAATTTGCAATAGTTTGTGTTTCTAAAAAAAATTATGTACTTTCGCTTTCTAAAATTTGATATGGTTACTCTCTTAAATTTTAAGATGTTCTATCTCTCTAAAACTTCAAGTTTAAGATAGTTTCTCTCTCTAAAATTTTGAAATTGTTTATCTTTAAAATTTGATATAGTGTCTCTCTAAACTTTGACATACTTTCTCTCTTTAAAGTTTAAAATTTGAGATACTTTATTTATTTAATACTTAAATTTTGAGCTCTTTTCTATCTCTAAAAAAATTTGAGATAGTTTATCTCTCTAAAAATTTCATGTACTTTCTCTATTTAAATTTGATATAGTTTATCTCTCGAAAATTTTAATACACTTTTTCTCTCTATTAAAATTTTACGACAGTTTCTCTCTCCAAAAAATTGAGATAGTTTCTCGCTCTAAAAAAATTATGTAGTTTATCACTCTAAAATTTGCTATAATTTCTATATTTAGAATTTTAATATATTTTCTCTTTCTAAAATTCAAAATTCGAGATAGTTTCTCTCTAAAACTCAAAATTCAAGATAGTTTATCTCTCTAAAAAATGAGATATTTCTCTCTCTAAATTTTTTGTTGACCGTTTCTCTTTCTAAAATTTATAATAGTTTATCTCTAAAATTTTAATAGTACTTTCTATCTTTACAATTTTAAGAATACTTTCTCTCTCTAAAACTTAAGATTTGATATGGTTTCTCTCTTTAAAAAAATTTGAGATAGTTTATATTTCTAAAAGTTTTTAGGTACTCTCTAAAATTTGATATAGTTTATCTCTCTAAAAATTAAAATATGATATTGTTTCTCTTCCTAAAAAATTTGAGATAGTTATTCTCTCTAAAATTTTAGATACTTTATCTCTCTAAAAAATTTGATATAGTTTCTCTTTAAAAAATTTAGGTACATTCTCCCTCTAAAATTTTCATACCTATCAAACGCTCCCTATGTTTTGGGTCGAGGGAGCCAATGAGTGGAATCCATGGCCATGGAAATGCAAAAAGACAGCTTTCGGTGTGGAAATGAAATCATGAAAAGGTTAGGTATTGTTTTTATGATTTTGATTTTTGTGATTTTAAATATCCTAGTCATTAAACAATCCTAACGGTAGATTTTGACAATATTCAATATCTTAGGAATCCATGCCTAAAATCCATGTACCCAAACAGGCCCAAAGAGATTTTCGAGAGAAAACTATTATGATTAGAATACATGTTATTAAAACTAGAAAAAAATTTATATACAACCAAGGCTCTAAACAATGAAATTAGAACCCACCTCAAAAATTCACTAGAAGAGGTTGTTTTGTTGTCCAAATATCCTCAATTTGATCATCTCGACATTAAGATGCATGGACCCGAGAAAAAAATAGATTTCAAGCTTTAAAAATAGTGCATTTTGTAACACATTTTTTACCATCAATTTTCAAGATTTCAAGTACTCATATATATGCTCGATCTACACTATTTTTTAAGCTTTAAATTTTATACTTAAATATGAAAATATATTTTAAGGCTATCACAAAGATTTCGAGTATTGAAACCACATCTCTCAACACTATTTGAAGGTGCGCTTTACTTTGATTGTTTGGAGCCTCGGCTTTATACAAACCGTACCTTTAAAAATACATGAAAGTAAAAAATAAACATATTCTATGTATATTATGTATTTTTATTTAACATATAATTCTCAAATAAGAATATTAAATTATAAATGGTATAATTATCATGGTTTTGAATTCCAAGGTGTACTCTATTAATGTTATTGAGGTTCATGACCAAGCAATAATGGCTGAAATTCTTTGTCCTAGGGGGCTTCTTTTCTTATAATAGGTGCGGCCGGAATGAAGCATTGTGTAGGAGGGCCTTTAGAATCATCTTAAAGATCTCAAGCTCAGGTCCTCACATCCCTTGTTGGCCTTGGAGGACTTTAACTCTATTTTAGACACTTATAAGAAGCATGGCGGTACGAATGAGATTAGTGTCGATGCAAGAAGTTTTGCAAAGGCCCTAATTGACTGTTTTTTTTTGGTTAACTTGGGTTGTTCTAAAGGGTGGTTCTCATGGTCTAATAGTAGCTTCGGTACTCGATGTATTTGTGAGCGCCAAGATAGAGCACTTGCAAATGTATATTGGCTTATGAACATGCCGAAAGCAAAAGTCGAACTTTTTCCCAAAGCAACCTCAAATTACTCCCCGTTGTTGATTACCGCCTTTGCTCTCCCTCAAACTAGCCATAAACCATTTAAATATTTCACAGTGCCGCACGAAACAACGATTCCTTATATTTCATTAAGCTATTTTGGCAATGTAATGTTGGGTTTATGTGGCCTTTAAAAGTCTCATGAGATATTGTAAAAAATATATTCAATAAATGAAACATAAACTCAATGGGAGTGTGATCCTTTTATGGACTATACTAGACAAATATTATTTGCTAATACTTGGACTAGGCTCGATGAGCTAGGTCAGCTGAGGTTTGGAGAAACCCAAAATACCTGAGCATAAGGATCTAACCGATAAGGGTTTAGTGGGTTAACCCTTGATGAGGTCGGCGTATGTACGGATGAGAGCCGAGGGACCGTGTGGTCCTTGCGTGTGATGAATAGCCTTTAGAGACACGTTTACAATATCATCATTATATCATCACACAGTGTGTACATAGATAGTCGTTTTGAGATTCTCCAATAAAAGTGAAGCGTGTATATGTGCGAGAGATTACCCCTATGCACAATAGAGTCATAATTGCATCATGGTCTGGAGGACCATGATTTTTTTCTCTAGGGGAGAACTTGAAATCCAATGATTATATCCCCTTGTCTATTAGCTGATATGACTTTTGCCTCTAAGGGAAAAATTAAAATCAATGATTGTGTTCCCTGATCTATTAGCTGGTTTTGGAGGTCCAATCATGAGCCCTTGCAGTGGACAATAGGTTATAGGAACTAATGGGTCAGTTTGATAAAGTTAAACGGATCATGATTCACGGTTGAAGGTGGAGTGCTCCCATGTATTGATATTTTCATAGATATAACGGATCTGATTCCCATCAAAAATAATTAATTGTAATTGATTTCATGTTATGTAATTTTTATAATGTTTATTTGAATTTTATGGATATTCATATATATATATTTTATCATTTGGATTTATAAATTAAGATAAATTAATTTTTCAATGTTTTAAATAAAATATAAGATTTAAAAATTCTAAATATGAAATAAAATATTTTCTAAAAATATATATGACCTCCATAAAATATGGGGCCCAAAATTAATTTAAAAACGTGTGGATTAGGTGGGGCTTACACGTGGCCACCAAAAGGGTGGCCTGTCCCACCCATTAACGTATTATTCTTGGGAATAATGTTTATGACTTATCTTTTAGATATAGCCAAACTTATGTGATAAAATTAAATATTTTGAGATATTTATTATACCTCATGTGATAAGGTTGATTATTTTAAATATTTACTAAATATTTGTATCAATATTGGTTCATCCAATAATTACAGATTGGATATATTAAAATATAAATTTTCTTATTTGATGGGAATATATTTGATTGGTTCATCCAATAATTAAGGATTTGATATATTAAAATATAAACTTTTGTTATTTGATGGGAATAGATTTAGAAGATGGAGGATAACATTCTAGCTCTTGAATCTTGATGATGAATCAAGGAGATGGTGGCTCAAATCTCTCACCCCATAAATCTCCCTAGATCCCACTAGTCTCCCAAAATCAACGGTTGAGATTTGACCATACGAATTGTCTCTCTCTTTAAGAATTATCTCTTTACCCCCAATTAAAGTCACGT